GTAGACGTGATGACTTTTATTAGACTGAGTAGTTGGGAAAAAGTTCCTTGGAGTAGCAGAACAGCAAAGACTTCCTATGCCTGAAGAAGGGTGATGGCACCAGACAGCTTGCAACTAACCTTTTTTCCAACTACTCATCTACCCAAAGAACCTTCTCTGCCCATATTTTCATAGCAACTTTGAATGATCGTTTAAGTCCCCAGATAATTCAGCCAGAAAGATAAGAGTGGAAGCTTATGGATAAATTACAATAAAGATCCCAGGAGGACAGAGAGCAGTGGTCAAATGACCAGAGAAAATTGCAGTTTTCCTGGGTTCTGTTCCTAGTCCTGGAGTCATTTTTTACCTGAAGTCAGGCAAGGCATTTAGTGTCACAATTTGCTTACAATAGAAAAAGTAAGGATAACATTTCCCTACTTCATATTTTCTGTAAGTCTTAATTATTTTACTGGGAAGTATTTTGAGACCCTCTTGTGAAAGTTGCTCTATAGGTACAAGTTCCTTTGAGGCTTATGAAATATCGGTTGCATTATGTCCTGCCAAAAGTAAAGACCACATGTTTTAAACAGATAAAATTCCTTTCCAAATCAAGGGCTAAACGCAGATTTAAATGATAAAGACGGCCCATCTTTGGGTTGGGCTAAATCAAAACCTCATATCTAAAATCTCCAAACTTTGGAGCATTTGAAATCTGAATCAGAACTTCGTGCTTCTGAGGCCATCTAAATATGTGTGCATGCTTGTTTGATTTAAAAAAAAATCCTGCTGAAGCAAAGCATTCGGCAGAAGTCTTTCTTAGAGTGAATGAGGATGCCAGATGACAAAACATGCAAACCCTACCTTTTCCCTCCTTGCTATGAATCTGCCTCCAGAAAAAAAATAAATGGAGTATATATGTCACAGGCTGAAGAGATCTGCTGGCACATAAGCACAAGAACAACACCATCAACAATAATAATAATAGGGAAGGAGCCTGAGTCTACCCAGATTTGGATGGTAGTTAGGGCTTTAAAATACAGTGTATATTCTTTATCCACCTATTAAATAAGTAAGTAACTTGCTTAACTACCTGAAACCTCCCCAGTCTCAACTTTTTACCTCTCATTGTAATAGATCTTGGTTATTGGTTAATTGAGTGAGCTGATTACTCAATTACTCAATCTGTTAATTGAGTACTGGCTGCCTCCCTTGTAATGCGCTAGTCTTCCCTTTAACTGCATAATTGGTAAAAGTGACTGTGAGCTGTCAAGTCAAGACTACTGTTCGAGATGTAAAACTTCTGGGGAATAAGATAGGGGTACTTAGTAAGGTGCTAAAAGCTAACCCCACACTGTTCCTGTAGGGATGAGCATTATTCACATCAAGTCCTGGGAAGCTCGCACCATGTGTACTGTCTTTTAGTCAGTCTGGAGCCTATGCATTTAAGTAGCCAGTGGACACTGCATATTTAAGAGTACTCTGACCGTATGCAGCCAGTAACCATGCTTTTATTATGTGTGTTGTACCCAGTTACTGAGCCTAAAATATTTGGGGGAGTTTCCCTTGAAAATTCTGACATTTCATCCAAAACCCAGTTTCTTTTTGGCCAAACCCAGACGCTTTCAGCTGCAAACTGAATGTGCGCTTTTTCCAAGGAGGAAAGAGAGAGGCAGAAAAAGGAAAACAGACATTTTCCAAGAATTTTTAAAAGGGTTTAGCCAAAAAAAAATCTGCTGAGAAACATTAGCAAGGCAAATATTTTGACCAACATTTGTGTCTGGCTCATTCAGAACTTTTGAGGCCTCTGTCTCTGACTGGATCCTCTGGGCACCAGTACAATAACAATAGTACTATTAATAATAATTGCAGAAGTGCAAGTATGCCAGGAAGGGGAAAGAATCTGCTTACCATTTGGCTTTACCATTCTCAGGACATGTCAGTCCACTAGGAAAGTAATAATGGACCCTGCCAATACCACAGCAGATGGGCAAGGCCTGATTTGAGCCATGGGCTCTTTGTTGAAATGTGCTGGATTGTCAATTGAAATCTTTTCAGAAGGAATAAGTCACAGTTAAAGACTCCCAGCTCGTGCTCACTACTGACTCAAAAATACTTGTTTAGCCATTCAGCTATTTTTCTGATGTTTCCAAGGAAGTGTTGCATACGTGACAATTTTTGAATCAAAGTGATTATTTGTAATGCCACGAAGATGTATTTCTTCCTGAATGCCCCAAGCTCTCTGTAAATGACATTTCTGTCTCACTGGAAAATATCTAAAACAAACATTTCTACTAAAACCTGACAGCTTTCGAATGTGCATCTGAGAGTGAGGATTTTTAGCAGTTCTTGGTCTGCAAAAGATCTAAAGGAAGCAGGTGGGCACTTTGGCAGGCTTTGCCCTTTCTGCTGTCACCCTGTTAACGGTTTGGAAACATCTGGTACACACCCTTCAGAGAGCTCCTGCATGTATCCAAAACTAGTAGCAGAGATCATTTGTAGGATTCATTTCTCATGGGAAGGCAATGGGAAATACCTACATATATACCTACCTCCACACTGCTGTGCATTCCAGCAGTGCCTATACAGGAGTGTCTGGATATAGAATTAGGTCCTACACTAGCCAGTCGGTGCCTAGTATGCCTTGTAATATCACTGTGAGTGGATGTATATAGATTTATAAGTAAGAGTAAGAGATTTCTTGGCAAATTATTGACGCTCTAAGGTGCATGTTGTCATGGGTCTGGGTTACCTGCTGAGTTCTTATTCTTGAATTGATTTATTATATATATGCACACACATGCATACCTATGTATACATAAAATAAATCAACAGATGTATCAACAAGGCAGAGAGAAGTACTATCTTCTCCACTTTGTACGGCAAGTAGCTGAAAAGACAAAATAAGTGACTTGCTCAAGTTTACTCAGAAAGTCAGTGGCAGAGGCAAGACCCCTTTATAACATTATATAACATACATTTACATTTTTTTATACATTCAATAATGCATCAAATGTCAAGGGTACTTTGGGTGGCCATCATAGAGGATGGTCCGGTTGTCCTCTGTCCTCTATTTATTCTTGAAGAGAAAAATAGAGGTCATAAAGGCGTCGGGTTTCGTAACAATAGAGGCCAGAGTAGCAGAAAACCGGAATATCCTCTATGATGGCCACCCTAGACTCACCATCTTGAAGAGGCAGTTTTGGTTTGTTAAATCAGCCAGAAAATACTAGTAAGCACATTCAGGTCTGCACCAATGAAGTGATTAAGGGCAGGAAGCTGGAACTCCTGAAAAAGGGTCTTGCCTCTGCCACTGCCTTTCTGAGTAAACTTGAGCAAGTCACTTATTTTGTCTTTTCAGCTACTTGCCATACAAAGTAGAGAAGATAGTGCTTCTCTCTGCTTTGTTGATTAGAGCGCAAACAATAACTGAAGTACTAAGGCATTCAGAAAAAAGTAATCAGCTGGTGTATGAGGACCAAAAACTTCTAATAAAAATCCTCATGAGTAAGTGGAAAAGAACAGATATCTCAGTAGGGATGTGGTGGCTGGCTTTGGCTGGTGTACTTAAAATGTAGGGGGGGACACAGAATCAAGGATGTGGAGGTTTTAGGAGGGATCAGATTCTTTTTCACCATATGTTTGTGGTCTCCTGACAGCAGATAAAGAACATGATCTCACCTAGGTATAACAAAGAAGCTCTCAGGGCTCAGAAGCAATGGTTTTCAATCATGTGTTTATATGAAGACATCAGCACATTTGGGAAGTTAGTGGAGCATGGAACTAGCTGATACCAATGCCCCAGTACTGATCAGGCATAGAGTTATCTGGGAGTATCATATTCATGAATCCTGTTATTAATGCAATAAATGTGTGACAAACATGAGCACTCATAATAGACTGAATTGTTTTTCCCAGCCCCAGCGATCTCACATAGGTCCATGTTCCAGGAGTTATTTCTACTGTTGCATGACAGGCCTCAGTCTTCACTATTCCCAAGTGTAATGTCTCTAAGCAAAGTTTAGGAGCAGGTTAGCGGGGAGTGAAGGTCAGACAGATTGGATATTGGTGAGGACTTGTGTCTCTTCCCAAATGCCCCCATCAATTCAAATAAGTCAGCTGCTGAGGGATGACAAAAATAGATCTGGGGAAAATTGGGCACGTCCTTGACCAGCTCTTGCTGCTGGTATAGATCTAAAACAAATTTCTGTGTCTCCTGAAGATGGGAGAGCAAGGAGGGAATTGTGATTATGTAGACCATACTTCCTTCCCACCAAGACTCATAGAATAGCACACTGTCACACTGCCCTGCCTTTTCTGCTCTTTCACAGCAACAATTAATGTGTATTTTAATACCTGTAGTACTCTTAACCTAGTTAAATAACTTCCTCCAGGGTAGAGCTTACAGAGCACATGACATGTGAATATTAAGGTTTTAGTACAATGTCTTTAACTACTTGCTATTAAAGGTCTGTTTTAAGTGAACTGGTATTTAATTGACACAGTTTCCTTCTGTCTTGGATGCTGCAGTAGTCAAAAAACCAAAGAAAACCGAAAATCTGGGGCAGGCAAAAAAAACCCCTTGAAATTAGCCGTCAACATAACTAATACTTCAAGGAGTATCACATCTCTTTTATCCATGTCCATATTTTTTATATACTAAAACGCTCCATTTCTTGGTTCACTTGAAGCTGCAGTAATTTCAAGTTTGCCACGTTTCAGTACCAGACTAGCTGCTTGAACCAGGGGAGATGTAGTTTCATCCCACAGAATCAGTAGGGCTTGAATTTAATCTCATTCTTTACAAGTCCCTTTTCCCTTACTATAATTTTATGCAGCTAGAGAACCCTAACAATAATTGTTTAATTTGAAACAGGACAAACTAGTTAACTCCCTGATTAGGGAAGATGACTAGCTCTTTAAATGGAGGCTCCTTCAGAAATTTTGCTCGGAGACCATGAGATCAAGATACTATGGTAACTAAATAATAAAAAAAGGGGGGGGCAAGTAAAGAGTCATGTTGCTGCAGAAGAGCTGATCAGCTACTTGATTCTGCTCAGAATAAGGCAAAGAGGATCTTTATGAAAGAGCCTGAGAGCTGGGAGTCCAACCAAAGAGCAAAATTAGACCAGAAGGAATAGGGAATAGCTGGCACTAAGCCTGCCAGACCTGCCTAGAGCGTGGTGAGTGGAAAATCCCTGCTTGTAACTGTTTCAAAATAAAGAAAAGTGCATCAAAGATAAAATACTATGAAGTTGTTTTCTGGGGGAAAAAACAAAACCCAAGTTGCCCGTGATTAAAGATGCATTCTTCAGCTGTAAAAGCCTAACATCAAAGTACTAAATAATGAGACTTACATGATAGGGGGACTGGCAGGGTGAGCTGCCCAGTTTATAAAGGGAGCTGTCCTGGAGCTTTTGCAGGATTGGTTTGATATTATTATTTTTTTTTTTTTTTTTTTTTTTT